TAATGTAGTTCATCTACTTTTAGTAGTTTGTTTAAATGTTTTAATTATGTTGTTTTTGTTTGTAGAAGTGCATCATTCCTTGATTTATTGTAAAATGAATCTGAACTTTTTGATCTGTTATGATGATAAACTGAAGCCATTTCTAAATTAACCCAATTAACTGAGTTTTAAATCCTAGCTATATTGTCTGCAGTTCTAGGGTTAATATGAATCTAATATGATTGTCATCGGTCTAAATTAGATTTCAAATGATTAACTGTGTATGTAATGAAGATCATAGTGTGGGTTAAATCCATTTTCATAACCACTGTCTTTTAACTGATTTAAATGCGGAAACTGGGCTTATTCATCAGAATTTCGTATGACTTGACTTGACTTGACTTGACCTGAGCAATGACTTGACTTGACTTGCTTGACTCTCACCACAGTGACTTGGGACTTGCTTGATACTTGTAGGTCAAGACTTGAGACTTGCTCATGACTTGCACATGTAGGACTTACTCCCACCTCTGGACTAGTCCCACTCCGTTATGTTCCTTCTTCCTAGAACAGACAATGAAAGGATAAGATGTCATTTGTCAGTATAGTCCTATCTTAAAACCTTCTCTGTTGTTTAAGTGTCTGATACTTGATAACCACGAATAGTAAGCAATGATATAACAGTAATGACATAACATATATGATACAATACAAAAATGTGTTGAGTAGGAAACCACAGAGGAAAATTACATTCAAAGGAGCAACTAAAGGGAGTGAAGCCAGTTTGAACAAATTATCTTTTAGGCTTGATTGAAAATAACAGTGTCTGACATTATCATGTTATATCATTACTGTTATAAAACGGACAAGCCAAATCAAGCAATCTGATTGGTTCTTAGCCGTGATATATTGAGCGTACACCACGGGTAGAATTGTAAGTTACTTTTCACAACAAGTCAGTATCCCTCCGCGTCTGAGAAAAACTGTATACAGTTGGGCTGAAAAGCAAACTGCCTGCAGTTTGCTTTTCAAACTGGAACAAGAAAGCAGCGGAGAAGTAACGGGGCAGAAACCCTCCTTTTTACGCAGCGGTCCAGACATAGACATCAAACGGCAAAAACATATTCAGTGTGCAGCTCCTTTGGCATTAGGGCAGGGATATTTAGATACTTTCCAAGGTTTGACATAATGAATTGTGCTACTTTTAAAGCAAGCAACGATGTTTTCAAATCTGTAATCAAAAAGGTCCGCAAAAACGCTATCGACCAATCAGATTGCTTGATTTGACTTGTCCGTTTTATAAATATATTTACATTTCTTCCGTTACGAAACAAACTTACAGAGCATAAGATGGAAACATTTAAGATTAACTTCGACCTCCGGGGGGGGTCTTACTATGGAGGAGTGGATTGAGCAGTGCCTATATCTCCAGAACAAAAAGCACCTAACGACGACATGCAGAGCTACGTGAAGAGCAGGTAGACCAACTGGAAAGGTACCACCATTCAAAAGCTTCCTGATGCGGGTCTTGAAACAAAGCAGAGAAATTATGACCGTTAGTGGCCACAGGTGCGAAAGCTCTCTCCAGAGCTACTGGAAGCCGAATCTCGGGGACCGGAGAAAGTGGAGCAATATTCTCGTCACGCCAAGCAACAGCCTAGAACAACCTCAACCTATACAAGTAACCACGTAAGCCATGCTACTGATGCTGGACAGTTTTTCAGTGGGTGCACAATAAACGGCAACATACACATTAATGTAAATAAATAGCCAAATAATGGATCAACGCTCTCTGTCTAATATGTTCGCTAGCTGTTGTTAGTGTTGTTGCATAGCAACCACCTCGCACTATGTTTCGTGCAGAAGGCAACGGACGGACTATTTTATTTTGAACATCATTATTTAATAACAACAACTATTTAAATTAGAGTGTGTATTTTTCATTCATATTGCCACACTTGGTAACCGTTTTATAAAAGTTAAGGGGGTTGTCGACCCTCCGCTTCGCGTCGGGCCGAACCACGCCCCTTAACTGTGATATAATGGCCATATACCACGGCCTGTCGTGAGCTATTGCTTAATTATATCATTGCTTACTATTCGTGGTTATCAAGTATCAGACACTTAAAACCTTCTCTGTTGTTTAATCTGATGGGAAAGATATCATTCAAAAGAGAGAAAGTAAATCATTTCTTTCGCTTTTCCGCTTAGAAAACTAGGCGAACGCTCAATAAGCGAGATGACGTCATCGTTGCGCGTCCCCGCGAACAGGGCTTCAATCTGCGGCAAGCCTTCAACCTACGGCACAACACCGGCCGTCAGCGAACCGAGCCCGGCCCTTGACGACCGGCCGTTCTGTGATTCTCCAGATTCTACAGATGGCCAGTCCGCCCCACACACACCTCTACACACCTCTGCTCTGCTCTGTGTGTGTGTGTTCTGAGTGTTTGTTTCCCTTTAAACCAGCTGCGGGCAGCACTCTGAGAGTCACGGACATTAATTCATAGATCAAAGCAGACTGGTTTACAGACTCTCCTGTTTTGCCAATCCGGTGCTTAAACAAATAGCTCTACACCCCTGGCCGAAATGTCCATAAAATTAAGTCTGAGTTCGAAATATATCTCAAATAATGTATACACTGTCGTGGCTGATCCTGTTGCTGTAATCCTGAGTCCTGGATCGCGAGCCCTGGATCCTGAGTCGTGGCTGAGCCTATTGCTGTGGTCCTGGATCCTGAGTCCTGGATCCTGAGTCCTGGATTTCGAGTCGTGGCTGAACCGGTCTCTGCGGTCCTGCCTGACTCATCATACTACTTCCCTGATGGCTCCCACAGGATTGTTGACATCCTTGTGGATTCATCTTCTTATTATAGACACATGCATTTCTAAACATTTGGACTACCTATGTTGTAAATGTATTATCTTTTCAATGTACACACGGCATCTATTGCACGTCTGTCGGTCCTGGGAGAGGGATCCCTCCTCTGATGCTCTCCCTGAGGTTTCTCCCATTTCCCCCTTTAAACTGTGGGGTTTCTTTGGAAGTTTTTCCTTGTACGATGTGAGGGTCCAAGGACAGAGGGTGTCGTATTGTCATACTGATATTCTGTACAAACTGTGAAGTCCACTGAGACAAATGTAACATTTGTGATATTGGGCTATATAAATAAACATTGATTGATTGAGTTAGAAATCACCGTCCTCACCCCTACTTTTGATGAATAGGCTGATTAGGCACGGCTCTATCCCGGTGTAAGCTCATCATCCCAGAGCTCATCCTGTTGGGCTAACCTGGCCACTGTAGAGCAGCCGAGGACAAGCAAACCCTCTCCAGGGGCTAATCTCCTGGGGAATCCAGGATTATGGGCAGCACTAATAGCGAATCCCCTACAAACACCAAAGCTGAGCCGGCAGCTTAGCAGGGTTAGAGGGTTCTCTCCTCGCCTTCCACTGTCTTTTGGACTCTGCTGTACAGGTATGGACTGCTGAGGTTCATGAGCTCTGAACCTCTTGAACAAAGGTTGAACAAAATTGTCATGACCTGGAGGTGTTGTAAACGGGAGATTATAAGTGATGCTGGGACAAAGGCTAATTTTCTTGACTCTACAAGGATATGTTTCGATAGCACAGCTGAAATGTATCAAAATTCATGACGCGTAACAAGCTCTTTTTCAGAAAACAGTTTCAGACAGGCTATGAATTACATTACAAAGCAGTACAATTAGATGTTTAATTTATGACAGCTTACTTTCAGGTGCATGCTGTCAGTCATTAAAAGTCAAAGTTTACGCAGAGTTCTTCATCCAGACTACAGATGGCACTATTGCCTCAGTATGGCTGGTACTGGATACCAATATCTCATGATGATTGACAACCTTTATTTCCCCTGAATGACCTTAGCCAGTACGGAGATGTTTGCATGGAGGCAACAACTCAAATGAATCACTGCTTCAGATCAAACAGCGTCCACCCTGCAACTCTTCAAAAAGAGCTTCTTTTAGCCTCAGCCCTTTTCCTGTAAAAATAACTCAAGTCAGTTTATGCTCAAACGTCCCCCTGGCTTTCATTGGTTCCGCCAGATTGGTGAGGCAACCCAAACGCAGACACATTCATCCACTGACCAAGTGGTATTAAAAAACTCCAGCTTTCCACACTCCCAGGCTTCGAGCTGGTGACCTCTCTCAATTTAGAAGCCGTCCAAAAAAAAAAAAAAAGTAAGAGCATTAACCGAACACTCAAGATTTCCATCAGCCCGAGAGTGATGAGACAGTTGCCGCGACTTAATAAACAAAAAAAGAAATGGAAGTAACAGCTGACCCGGCACGGGTGAGTGACAGCTTTAGATGATCATTTGGATCAACTCTGATTCCACAATTGCACCGAGCTCTAACAGCAGAGGAAACCAGGCTGCTTTCTTCCCTGCCTGTCATGAAAGTTCCCAGATTCATGAGTGTAATTTGCTTTTTCTTTCCAACTTGTGGCGTGTTAATTACTGGCAGCTTTCTCCGAGGCTCTCTAAACTGAAATGACAGAGGTGTTCTTTAGTGTGCTGAAGTTGGTTCAGCTGATGTCCATGGTAATTGAATAGCAGGATTTTGCAGATGGAAATCCCGAGAGTAGCTTTTTTTTATGTTACTGTTGTTACCAATTATTCCATCATTATGACGCTCTTCCTGGTCCAGCATATTTATAGCAGGTTCAAATATGTCAATGTCACTGCACGGTGACTTTTTGGATGCATGGAGATCCTGCTACAAACTCTACCAGACCTCATTTTTATTTAAAAAAAAACTGTACACAAATAAAATGTATGTTCATAGTATCCTATTTGATGTATATTTTTTATTTAGAATGTAAATATTATATATGCCGTTAATTTAAAAATGTTGATATATATTTTCTACTGTTATATACATTTGAACTCGTGCAATGCTTTCTTAACATGCTGCTGTAGCAAAACTATTTTCCAATTTGAGATCGATAAGGCATTTCTAATCTAATCAAAGAGACATTCAGAAAATGTATTGGCAATCATTTCTACTTTTATTAAGACATTTTAATAGATTAGACAAAACAAGTTTCATTAGATAAAGATGTTTCATTTACAGATAGCTCAGGAAACAGTAAAGGACCTCAGTGCAGACAGGTGGGACTCCACATTGTCTTCATAAATAGCTTTTACTGTACAGCTTCTTACACATGGTCACGTAGTTTAAAAACCTTGATGTGATTACATCAGTTAAGAGATAGAACCTAAAAGAAAACATGGGATGGGGATGGAAAATTACAGAGTTAATACTAAGTATAGCTTGTTTAAATAAATTGGAGTACTTGGAATTTGCTGTTCCAGATGCGTGGGGGAAATTGTTGCACTTGAGGGAAACAAATGTCTTCCATTGTCCGTGTCAAGTCCAATCAATTACAGAAACATACTAAAAAGGAATAGAGGAAGAAAAGAGAAAGACCCGGTGGTGGTCACATTGCAAGGCTATTCGAGTTGCCGTGTTGCTCCGAGTCTGGGAAGGAGGAAGGGCGTCTAGGACATGGTGATCTGCATGGACTCCAGCATCTCCTCCACCGTCTTCATGGAGCATTTGTTCTCCTTGGTCCCGCGACCAGCCATCTGCGTGTCAGAGAAAAAAGTTTTAAAAAAGAGACAGAAGTGAGGGGAGAAGAGAACATTGGCTCATTAGGTTCCGCCGCCAACAAAACGAAAAAGGCCAAACACATTTGAAAGCAGCATTACTCGTTAACCTCATCCACCCTCTGCTGCAGTGGTCATTAAATAGCATTGATAAACGGGTAAAGAGAAACGATAGCCAGATTTCTCCTCAACTGTTGCATAAGAGCCACTTTGTGATCGCTCAGGATCAGGATGCCCACATGATTAGTCCACTTCCATGGCCTCTAGTACAGGAGTACATAACACTGAGCTCTAATTTCTGCACTGTGTCCACGGGGTTTTCACAGGAAGTGCCGCAAATTATAATCCACAAGCACATCCAGGATTACTCATGCATGCACGTACAGGCACACACACTTCTTCCCAATTAAACTTCGCAATGGACGAAGCATCGCCTCGAAAAATACCAAAGAGGAAGACAACTTCCTTAACCTTGGGCAGGGGACCAGGGGTGTAATAAAGGGTCAGTGTAATTAGCCTCGCTTCACCCACATTGATAGATAGAAATAAATCTTGGACGAGATGATTCTAAAATAAGATGAAAAGTATTTTTAACTGTAAATCTAGATACCAGTAAGAGAATGAGATTTGAAGTGCCCTATTATGCTCATTTTCATATCAGTATATAGTGTCTCTACTGTGACATGTCTCCATGCTTTAATGTTCAAAAAGCTCTTTATTTTGCTCATACTGCCTGTGCTGCAGCACCTCTTTTCACCCTCTGTCTGAAACCAGAGCCCAGTCTGCTCTGATTGGTTAGCTGGCCGGCTCTGTTGTGATTTGTCAACTGCTTAGAGACATCCCGCCCCTGAGCCTATGATTTACAATGTGCAGCGAATAGAAGCGAGAGTGCTACATAGTGATGTCACTATGTTAAGGAAGTAAACAAAGAAGTCTACCATGGCGTTTCAGACGGCAGCGGGGAGTGGCCTGGATTGCAATGTTTGATATTTATTAAATATTAAACATTAAGTCTTTGGGGCGGCAGTGGTTCAGTCAGGCAGGGGGTCAGGATTGTGCCCTCACTGAGACCATCTGGCTTTCTTCCTAAACCTTTTTGTGGAACAACACATTAAAACTGACACCTCTCAATGCCATGTTCAACATAAAGAAATGCTTTGAATGCTGCGAGGCTTTTTCTCATCCAACATTTGGCCTGGCTTCAAACAGGAGCTAGCTGTAGCCTAAACCTAGCCTATTTCCATGGCTAACGTTTTTTCCTTCCTCTTTTGCCAAACTCCATCTTAAGACAGTTGGCTAAGGTGTGCAATTGGCTACGAAGTTTCCAAGTGTGACTCATTCTCCTGGAGTGTGTGCGTGTGTGTGTGTGTGTGTGTGTGTGTGTGTGTGTGTGGTGGGGTAGCTATAATGATCAGTGCATTTCATTGCCTTGCTGCCCTAATGTGCCATTACCCCGGGCCCCGGTAGTCAATTATCTCCTTTGCTTGAGGTGAGAGAAGCATATTAGCTCCTGCCCTGCTCTACAGCGGTGGAGGCCGAGCACACACTCCAGATCTATTTAGAGCGTCTGATAATAGAGTCCCGACGCAGCGGGGAGCCTTTGGTCCGTGACGGAGGAGCTAATCAGGGAATCTGTTGCGAGAGTTAGGGCAGTGCTGCTTTGAAGCCCCCCTTGTACCTCCAAGCAGGGGTGGAAGAAGTACTCAGATCCTTTTCTTAAGTAAAAGAGGAAATACTTAGGTCCTAAAACACTACATTACAAGTAAAAGTGCTGAATTCAAAATTGTACTTCAGTAAAAGCACACATTTACTAATCAGAATCGGAATACTTTATTTGTCCTTGGGGTGATAAGGTTTAATGGAAGTTGCACCATCTTAGAATGCTCTGTCTTTTAACCTCTTTCCTTATCTCCCTTGATCCTCCTTAGCAACGGCCATTTTATCCTTAGCAGCGGTGTGTTATCGATAATTACAACCTCTGAATGTCCAAATGTACCAATCAGAATTGAGCATTCAACAAAGCCGTGTAAAAATGTAAAAAATATGTCGGGGAAGAAACCAATATGATATTTCCTGTTGAAGTGTAATGGATTAGAAGTATGAAATGGCATTAAATGGGAATCGGCAAGTACACGTCAAAATAATACTTAAATTGGTACTTAGTTACACTGCCACTGCCTCCAAGCCCCACATCTACAGCTCCTTAACATGTCAACCGACCCCGCCGAGGTAATTACGTTTCTCTTGTTGTAAATGAGCCTCAGTGGGTCGTGACCTCTCGCTGACGTCTGCTCCCACTTGCACTCACCTGCCCACCTTTTTTCTCACACTGAGGTATGACAATCACTAGGTACCGGGGCCCTAATAAAAGTGGACGACTGACACGAGCGACGTTTAAAAAAAAAAAAAAGGGCCATTAATCAGCGCGCACAAGCACCCAGTGGCCTGCAGCTGTGTAACAGAGGCCTCACACCGCGTGCCGCTCCTTTTTAAAAAGATCCCAGAAGTCGGGAGGTGGTGAGGCAACCTTACACCTCGTCATTCAACTTGTCTCGCACAGGGAACTAAAAAAGAAAAACGTCAGTCTACAAGTGCTAGACTTGCATACACATACTGTACATACACACTCAGGGCACGACATCATCATTACCTGGCAACTACAGGGACGATTCTTACAGCATTGGATTTGTCAAAAATGTTCTAGTTAAACATCAATTCAGGCCAATTTCACTCAACAGACATTAGCTTAACTTTGGGGCATTTTTTAGAGCACTCCCAGACAAGATAGAGGGACAGTTTCAATCATTGGATTTTTCTTCTTCCATAAAATGAGGTTGTAGAGGAGGGCAGAAGCTCACACTCCCTGGAGGACAAAGGTGTGACTGACTGAGGTGTCTCATTATCATCACAGAGGGGGTGGGGGAAAACCGCACTCAGTCAGAACTTTTAAAAACTTCGTCCACTGATCTCTGAGTGGAGCTGAATTATTTCAGTCTGTCCTCATAACTCCACTGAAACGTCTTGCCTCTGTGCCACAACAGCATGACGTACACAACAATATATTGTCCCTATTTTGCTGCTATAAAACCTACATTTCCCTACGGAGAACCATAAATGTTTATCTTCTCTTATGTTGATCACGTTCTCATCCAAACAAACGCGCATGTTAACAGAATGACAACATCAAGATCAACCAAAATGCTTCCTGTCATGTCCATACATCGTGGGATAAGTTGATAACTTCATTATTGAGAAATGCCTACATATCAGCTTCATAGTTTAAACTAAATTAGTCTTGTAAATCCACGTAGAGGTGTAAAGGATGAATAACTCAACTCAATGACTCTGAAATACTTTTTGGTCAAAATATATTCTTTTCCATATATAATATTGTCTGCAAGTGTTTATCGACAGCTGAAATGTATGCCCATAAAGCTATTAGCACGAAGAATCTGCTGAACTGAAGACATATTTGTGATTCCTGTCTGTGGGAAAATCCTCTGCCACCCCTCTTTGGCAATAAAGACAAATATCTAGCAAGGAACACATGTGCTCCACTACTGCTCATGCTACTGTCAAAACCCTGTAACAAGTTTCAGACGGAGTCCCATTGAGTAATGTTACAATGTGTCTGTTTCCAAGCTTTTTTGATGTACTTATATAAAGCCTGTCAACTGCCAGTAATGGATTGATAACCAGTTAGAATCAGACATTTTAGACTAATAAGTGCAACATGTGGCCAGAACAGAAGGTTAATTGAAGGACAGTGTCAGTGCCATGGATTATGTTACACTTCAGATATGTGGACGCGGCTGAGTTCCATTCGAGTATGATTTTCTTTCTTCACACTTTGTTTCTCTGCTTCCTTTGAGCCACAGATTTATGCTCGAAAATTTAGCAGTTTGAGATTTTTATCTTGTTCCCTGCCGGGATGAAAGACATTCTGAGACAGCGAGGTGAGGTCAGCGAGTGTACGGATCAAAGTGTGAGAACTCCACATCAATCGAGGCATTTGTTGGACTATTATTGTTGACCAAAGCGCCTATGCGTTTTTCAATCCATCAAGGAGATCCATATCGTATGAAGTGTTAACCTGATTTAAAACCCCTCGGCAGTTATTACATGTTAAATCAAGCCTACAGGAACGAGTAAAAGCTCGTCGTTCTCCCATGAAACCTCTCCAGCAGCCGCTCACCGTGACACATGCACACTTTTTTCCGATTGAGCCCTCATACTTGTCTGAGTGCTCGACATGTGAAACGTGTCCCTTCGTGTGGTGAGACGAGGACTTAGAGGCTCAGCGGGGAGCCCCTCTCGCTCAAAAGGAGCCACACATGCTGAGCGAGGAACCGCTTATTACATGTTTAACTGTCGTGCCCGAATAAGCAACACATATGGCCCAAGTGATGATTTATTTTTTTTTTAAATATGCTTTTGGGTTGCTATGACAACAGCATAAACCGTTTTAGTGATACCATGTGAGCGGCTCCTCACTTTTTCCCCTTGCCTTTGCATTGCGTACATGTGCGAATGCTAATGTCAGCACACACAGAGTTCCATCATTTATCTCCCATTTTTGGACAACTTCTTTACTCTCTGTGTCGTAATAGATCAATGCCATCATTTTTACACAACATTTTTCTAGCACAAATGGATTTATTGGCCATTAAGATTTTATTTTAGGGACAGTAATTCAAATATCATCTCAGATGAATTGATTTACTCTACAGATGAATAAGTTAAAAGTAATCTGATGGATATCACCATGAAACTTCCCCACATTGTGACTGACAATTATTGTTTGTATGCTCACTTTTGGCAAATTTAGAGAAATCTTAAAGGGGTCCTATTGTGCTTTTCCCTTCCCTGCAGTGTGTCATATCGTTTTTTGTAAATGGTCTGCAAAGGCTAAGATTCAAAAGTCCCCCCCCCTAATGACATCACAATGTAACACCCTCACTTCTATTGGCAAGGTAGTGAGAACAAATTAGCATTTTTTGAACGTTAACGCATGTAAACATGTCACAGGAGAGGCACAAAATACAAATATTAATAATAAGGCTCCTTTAACTAAAAATAGTAGTTGTGCTTAGTGCGATTTGGATATTGTGCTCGTCTGTAGTGCAATATTGATGTATTAAATGTCCATCCCTATTTCTAAGTTTATTAATATCATTGCCTGGAAGAATGAAGAGTGAGCATAAAATGGCCTCTTTAAGACGCAAATAGACAGATTTTGTAATAAAAAAAACACCTAAATGTGTTTTTTAGATGTTTTCTTTCCTCTGGTCTGAAAGAAAATGGAAACTAAATGGTCTTAATGATAACTGTATATCTAGTTAACACATGCTTCAACTGGAGAAATAGCACTAAAATCTACAATTAGGCTCGTGAATATGCCGGGGACTTCCAAGTTTCAGCTTAATGGCTCTTGAGGGTCACTGAACTTCGCATTGAGAACCGCTGAACTATACAACTCTCTGCTACAGTTTAGTGCGATTGTGGTCCTGGGAGAGTCAGCCTGTGGCTCATCTGTGAGGCCGGGGTGTGGAATAAAGTCTTAGCAGACGCTGTGGCCTTAAATCAACACATTAACAGTAAATGTACCCAGACATGGGGAAAGACACTGGGGTTGTTATTACAAAACACTGTACGTCAAAAAAGGCCTTCTCCGGGGCTGCTGTGCGTTCAGGGGTCATTTGGTGGTGCTGATGGATATTTATATGCTATGCAAATGAGGGGATTTCTGGATATTGTGTGTGAATAGCGTATGAAAGCTAAAACAAAACAAAAATCCTAAGAAATATGATCTGGGGTTAGAAGTCCAGCTTTTGTGAATGTGGCTCAGGGGGGCAATGGGCCCAACCCTAACCCGTTCATTGGTTGTGCTGTTCGATCCCAGCCCTGGCAGTCAAAATGCCAATGTGTCCAATAGCAAAATGTGACATGTTTTACAGTAGACGAGCGAGACACTACCAATGGAGGCTATGACGATAGTGGCAAGAATAACATAATAGTGAAGCTAGATTATAAAGGCAGGGACAATTGTTACATGACTCACCTTATAGGCCCTGTTTATTTGAGTGGCAGCCCAGGCGGCGTACTTCATATTGTCCTTCTTCACCTTGGCACTAACTTTTGGACTTGCAGCGATGTGACTTGCAGACTAGAAAAAAGAGAAGAAAAAAACACATGAAGAAGAAGCAAAAAGAAGGAAAAGGGGGTGTTTCTTATATCAAAACTTGGTGAAACAGCAATAAAAAGCGTAATTGAGATGAATGGTCAACCACGTTTACCATCCACCACTCCACTAGTCATTGTGGCAGAAAAAACGAAGAGAGAGAAAACAGACCTTGGCCTGATGACACGGGAGAAATCATTTATGGGGAGGGGAAAAAGTGAGTGTTTTAATGCTTCGTACGTAAATTGTCACTTAACAGGGGCCTAATTTCTCCAACACCATCGATTCATCGCGATGAAAGGATCTTGATGTTGAAGGAAAAAAAAGTGGCGCGCAGCGAGAGGAGCGCTGTGTGAATCACGGTCTTTGCCTGCCTCGACAGCTCCCCTCCGAACCACAAATCCCATGTCTTTCCCATGTTCCTTCCATCATCTCCACACAGCAAACCCCAGAGGGCTTACCCTGCATGCACTTCAAAGCCCTCCGCTGAAACTTTAACTACAAACCAATCAATCTAGACCTGGGCTTTATTCTATAAAACGGTTTGGCTTCTGTATTTTCTTTAGTAAGCATCAGTTCTTTTCTTACCAACCCTAATTTAGATCATGTCGTCCTAGACAGGCTATCCTGTTATGGAGGGGAATCCCCACACAAATGTTGTGAGTAACTCACCCACAACCCGAGTGTGGTCAGTGCTACCAGGTCTGAAATGACTCAGTTGGTGAAAGTTTCCTGTCCTTTCGCTAAACTTCTTGCACCTGTCAAGATCTGGACCACCGAGACCCGTTGACAATCTGCACAGTGACTGATAAAAAAAAAGGAAAAACTCCCAGCTGAAGTCTTCATTAAAAGACCCGAGTGTCAGTTGATGACTTGTCAGGAAGCCGTACAGGGACCTGCTTTGTGTCCAGACGAGCGTGAGAGTTAACAGAAGTCTCAGTTTTGACCCTGCATCTTCGTAGCGGTTTTGGGCTTTTGCGAGGTGTTTGGACTATTTGAAGAATCCCAGTGCCGTTTTGAGGAAAAACACTGGAGCTCTCTGTGTTCGACCTGCTTCCCCCCTTTCCACTTTTATTCCCTGTGCCGCTTCGTTTATGTTTTTATGTCAAGTCTCAATTACGTATGATGCATTGACACTAGCAGACAACATCCTGTTTAAACAAATATCTAGATGAAAAGGGGCGAAACTACAATCGTACTGGCACCTGGTCGGGTAATTTGCCTGTGACAAAATGCTTGCAGCGGTTGTTCTGCTCTTTTCTTTTATAACTCTGTGACTTCTTTATTTATTTAAGTCATACACGTTAAAAAAAAAACGTCTCACCGAACGGGTATTATTACTAAAATAAAGGGCTCCAGAGGGGCAGACTTTTCCGATGCTGGAGTTCACCGTCTGAGTCAGCAGTGACCTGTCTGAGAGCCCCCTTTTTTTCACTCCCCCCCCCGAAAACACACTTACACACACAGTGAGTACAGTGGTGCTTGACACACTCAGTGGCCAGCCTCAACCTTGACAAACCACAGGGTTACAAAAAAAAGTCTCCACTGTTTTGTTTTTTTTCACCCTTTCTTTCCCACTTTCTCTTCATGCAAAGCAGTACTCACCATGTACAGACCAAACAATGCCCTCATGTTTCGGTTGTTCAGCCTCAGCGCCTGGGCGAAATACTTTCTGGACAGCTCCAGGTTTTCCAGCCCCCCCTGAGTGTATTTCACCTGTGTGAGGAGACGGAGGACGAGGCATTAAACACGGCCAATAAGCTGCGCAAAGAGGCAGCTCGAGGAATGACAGCATGACATCTGAATAAGCAATTCATAACGACCCTGTGTAAACACACGTCCTTTCAGGAGCCTTTATTCCCAGTGACGTTAAGTGCGCGTCTCTCCGTTTTTACAGAGAGGCGCCATTGACAGAAGGTTAACATTTATTCCACAGTTTGCCCCCCATGCTCGATGATGGACATCCAGGCGGCTGTACCTACCTCAGCGTACTGCTCACAGTACAAGTGATTGTGAGGATTGGTCATCATCAGCTCCTCCAGGCAAAACGCGGCTTTTCCATAGCTGCGGACACGACAAGGAAAACAGTAAGCCGATTGATACAGCTGTGCATATGTCATCCTTTAGCTTGCTCAACTGTGAAGCACAACATCCATGCCCAATAAATTCACAGGTATAAATCTTAGTTTTAAAACTATGTGTGGTACGGGTCGGTTTGAAGCCTATGTTGTGGAGATAAACGTGCCGTTATGTTTATTTACGAGCTTACCGTAAAGGTTACTCAGTCCAGACAGCTGGAAAAGGTAAAAGCCTATCTGCTGTGGTGATTTTTCCTCCTTTGGGGACACTGAGGATCAATCTGGTGCGTCTGTGTGTGTTTTTTCAGCTATAATGTGTAGTTAACTACCTTCCTGAGGTCAGCACTACAGTAAGAGCTGGCACACTGTGCCTATACTCAGATGAGATCACTTCTCAGCAGCAGACTGCTGAGCTGTTGACCTCACACTAATCTTCTGCCACTCCACTTCTAATACACCATTTCCCCCTCACAGGCCCAGGCCAAGACGCGCTCAGATACTGTATATCACTGAACACAAAGCCATAAAACGTCTGTACGCCAAACAAAACAGAAGCCAGCGGACACAGTAGCAGACCTACCAACAGACACTTCTCTGGCTGTCTATCAGCAGATCCTGGAAATTAAAAGGTATAATTTGGATTTTTTTAAACTGCATGACCTAAAGCGGATCATCAGCACGTCCCCAGCTTGGAAAAACAGATGGGAATACCTGGATATTTGGCAGCAGCAAAACATATTGAAGTCACCTATAAAAAAGTGTAAGCTGATGTTAGAATATTTTCTCTGATATTGATTGGTGTTCATTTTGTTTAGGTGGCTAAAATATGTTTTGTTGCTACTCGATAGAAGTACAGCGCTTTGCTTCCATGCTGGTAGTCCTGTGTCTCTCTAAACTTGGGCCATTCTAACCACCATCCACTGTATAATATAGACTAACTATTGAGAAGACCCTTGTACAACCCCACTTCAAGAAAATCTTAATTATTTCACAGAGGGTGAAAGAGGTGCTGCAGCACAGGCAGTATGAGGGGGGAAAAGCACTTTTTAACATGAAATCATGTAAACATGTCACAGTAGAGGAACACAATAATAATATAAGACCTAAACTGAGCATAATAGGGCCTTGTAAGGGGTGGAGAGGCAGGGTAGGTCAGGGGCCTCTCCATTCCTGCCAGGTGGCTCCACCCTACCAATTGGCAGTGTTGGGAGCAGGTGGAGAGCCACACACCTGGAGCTGATCTCCACTACAAGGGAGACAAAAGCCAACTGAGCAGTTCAGTTTGGTGTGGTACGTGCAGAGAGCAGGAAGCGCCCAGTCTCTGAAGAAGATTGTTTATGATCCTAGCCGGTAAATCGGTTAGCGGAGCGGCTATGAGACTTAGGTCGCCTTCACACAAGCCTTGTTTAGTACGGTTGAATCGAACCCTGGAGCGTTTAACCCCTTGCTGCAGTTCATTTGGGTTGGTGTGAACGCAGTCTGATACCTCCTCTGAACTAAACAACCAGACTCAAAGAGGTGGTCTCGGGCCGCTTGCTAGTGAACTCTGGAGCGGTTGATTGCTGGTAGGATAATAGACAGGAAAGGATCTAAACAAACAATGCAAATGCTAAGATGCGAAAGAGGGGAAACTAATGATCCGAGTATTGCCTGCCACAACATAAAGACCCTATCAGTCTATTTAAAGTTTGCCATAGTAACAAGCTGAAAGACTAACAGCGTAGGAAGGTGGGGACAGAGAAAGAAAGAAATAAACAGGGGGAAGGGGTCTAGTAGAGGGAGGGGGAGATCAGAGGGCTGCTTACAATTACCACTTCCTCTCCATAAAGACTTTCAGATGTGCTCATGCAGTGGCCGTGGCCTGCAACAGAGTCCTGCTCCATCAGCCATCAACCAGAATCCTGTCCCAGAGCCAAACCCTTACCTCTTCTCCTCTTCCTCTAAAGCCGTCTAAACCCCCACCATCCCCGGGCTGCTCTCTACGACAGCTCCTAAGCCCGCTCTTCACCACAGTGCTCGAGTAAAGGTTGTAGCCACCATCATGTGCGAGGCTGTAAGAATCCTATTTGTTTCTTTTGGAGGTTAGCGAAAACCATCAGCAGTGGCTTTCCCCCCCGCTGCAATACCACAGTCTGACTTCGTATGAGACAGAAATGGATTCAGACTGCGCAAAGTATTTTTTGAATAGGATATTACTGTTTATCCTGTAATTCTGGATGACCCAATATAGTAAGTCTGTGTCATAATGAGACCCAACAGCAATTTCTGACGGTGGCTTCGCACAACGCTCGCAAACAGACAAAATAACCTCATGTGTAAACCCTCCAGGCATAAGCATTGTTTTAACAGTGTCAACTCGGGGGGGGGGGGCTATTAATTACGTTTTTAATGCGCTAACACTGGTGCCTGCTGCAACCCCAAACAAAGCAGTGCAGACACACGGCTTTGTTTATTTTTAGCTCCCGGGGTGTTGTGCAGTGAGTTTATTTATCTTCCTCGCTTCTCCATGTTTTCTCTGGCTTTGGGGGGAGAGGGGGGGGGGGGGGGCAGAGAAGTGCCACCACCTTCTCCTGGGAATTTCACAGCAAGTGCTCCCTGCCTCTGGAAAAGAGTTGGCGATAATGCCGGGGCTATCCGGAAGAGGAGGAGGAGGGGAAACGGGGAGTTTGTAACCCAAAATAAAGAAAAGAAAGAAAAGAAATTGACACGCCTGTAGATAAGGGGGCTGTGGGAGTGAATGGTGTGATATTAGAAGTGTTGGGATAAGCCGGGAGATAATCCGCTCACCCCTGGATTTCCTCTGGCTACTACAGCAATAAAGCCTTCCCGGACAAAAGCGCCAAATATCCAATAAGTAGCCTTCTTAACGCGCTACGCATTCCTGCTGCCGCTGCCTTCGTGCCGGAGCAACCGCAGAATCAGCGTGCCCACACACACACTAGCAAAAACACTGCTTCACTAACTTCTGAGCCCCCAGACAATTAAGGAGGGATAAAAGGTGACACAAACAAAATAAAATAAAAATGTCCTACAATGCTCTGGCAATTCTCCTTGGCAACTGAGATATCAGCGGGAGGCCGTGGAGTCTTTTTGCTCTCGTATGTAGGAGAGAGGGGCTTAGGAGTGAAATCCTATTAAAGTACTCTTATGTGACAAACATGGACAGGGCTCCATTCAGACCCCTGGCTGAGTTAGGCATCTCGCCGCCTTCCATTGTGGCCGAGCAACGGCCCCCTGGAGATCAAGCCATCAGTGTGATGTGAAGCCCAGTTTAAACTGACAGATATATCTCCAACATATGTTCGCCTTACTGGAAACAGGCACTTTTGAAATGATTAACATCTGCCATTATAGGAATTGTTCTCGCTAAAATAACAACTGAACGTGCAGCAGATAAAAAAAAAAGGTAAAATGTAAACATTTTGCTATGCTGATTGTTGGGACCTATCACGTTCATTTTTAATAATTTGGCTAGGAACAATAAACATTCATATTGGTTGTTTCGGTGATGTTCAACAAGAACATGCCACGCCATTTAGTTTTAACTGATGTGAGGAAAGGTACTTAGATTTCCTTTCTTGGCTTGAATATTTAATAGGTAAAGTGTGTCTAAACACAGATTATAGATTAATGGCTGCTCATATTCTGTCTACTTTTCTGGTGTCTTTATAAAGATGGAAGATTAAATAGGAAATATCTTGCTCATTTTCAGGATCATATATGTATTTTGTGTCTCTACTGTGACATGTCTCCATGCTCAAAAAGCTCTTTATTTTTCTCATATTGCCTGTGCTGCAGCACCTCTTTTCACCCTCTGTCTGAAACCAGAGCCCAGTCTGCTCTGATTGGTTTGCTGGCAGGCTCTGTTGTGATTGGTCAACTGCTTAAAGATGTGTCGGAAGTGTCCCAACCCTTAGCATATCACGTTCAATGTGTTGTGCTAGTCAATAGAAGCGCTTGCATTTCCGTTTCTTGTATTTTTTCTTTTTTTTTCATTTATCATTTATTCGTGAAAAACTACTTGGCAATAAACCGGTTTCCGATTGTGACTCCTCAATGAATGTATTAATATGAAAAGGTGACTCCACCTTTTCCAAAAAACTTTAATGTAACTTGTAACACACTTTACTTTTGGTGATTAATAACTTTAAGGGATACATTTAACATTTAACATTGTCACTGTTGTGTTTTATGCCATAATTAAAGTACATCATCGTGTGGTTTAGCCAAACTGATTATTTAACGGTGCATAAAAAATATATATTTACTCGTGTTCGTTGATGTAGAGTTCCGACAACTCATGCCATGCCTCTTGGTCCGCAACAAACCTGTAAACGCAAAAATAAAATCTCTTTTAAAAAAGGGAATTCATTCATAACACAGTAAAGTAAAACTGAGTATAAAACTATACAAATGACAGACATCCAACTATTGAGACATGAAAAACCATTTGCTGGCATTTGGAGCACAAGTTGTGCCAGCTCAATTGAAAGCAAACTCGCTTTTTAATTAAAATAAAAGCCATGGGAGGAGGGGGGCCCTGACCCTCTCCCCCTCTCTTGGAGAAACACTCACTGCTCCAGATACTCATTGAGCTCCCGGATGGCTTCGGCGCTCTTCCCCTGGGCCTTCAGTATGGAGATCTTTCGCTTCCTCGCTGCCTGTAGAGCAGAGAGAGTAAACAGGATTAGGGGCTGGAGTGTTTGTCTAAAGTGTAGAAGGGGGGGGGGGCAAGAGGATGAGAGGGTGTAAGATTTGTGAGTTTTAAGTGTGTACATTAGTGTCTTTTCAGCGCAACACAATCCTTTTTCCAGGTTGCACTGTGGGACTGAGTCACTTCTCTAAGGATGAATCGGCACTTGTGTGCGTTACAACAGCCATGAACAGAAAAGGACAAAAGGCACGGACACTTCCGACACTAGGGCTGCACGAAAAATTGATGAAAGCGATTATATTGACTGATATTGCGATATTATTTGCAAATTATAATTTTTTGGAAATGTTTCACAATATCAATAAAAAAAAAGATTAAAAAATAACCATGATGTGATTTTTTTTTTAAATCTTTCCAAAATGCTGATCTTTTCAATTCAGTCTATAGAATACCGTTGTAAGCCGGGACAGCTCAATACTTTTTCCTTTGACCAAATCTTGCGTTATGGATATTGCGCTCCCATATTGCAATATTGATAAGAAATTCGATTAAATGTGCAGACTTATTTAACAACAGCATAATTCAAGTTTATTAATTTCTGTGCTGGGTAAATGTAAATGAAGATAAGCCCAACGGGGGAGGGGGGATTTCACTTTTTTACAAAAAAATGTATAACTTATTTACAAATTTGTTAGCAGCTCCTTCAGTACTTTTATAAGTTTACTTCCTTTTTTCAAAAAATGCTTCTTATTTTTTTTTACCACAGTGTACTCTTGATGTATTTTATCAATGTGCCTCTTCATTTAAAATGTCTACTCTTCTTACTCTTGTCTTTCATCTGCACTGATCTTATGCTGCTGTAACGGCAGTAATGTATCCACTGCAGGCCCAAAAGTAGGTTCTAATTCTGATTCTGAAGACATATGGATAGACAGTTAGTGGCCAGGTCCAACAGGAGATGGACATATGCATTAGAAGTCCATGTTTGGGAGTTGGAATGAACTCCGTGGCTGAGATAAAGTGGTGAGTCATCCCATAACCAAGTGGGGAAAATGGCACACTCCACCAAACCCCAACGGCTGTCTTCCTTGCCGGCACGGCACGCATCGAGCGCTGCACCATCCCAACTGACATCAGCTGAAAATTGCTTTCCGCTTGGTTCTGATGTTGGAGTGACCTTATAAGGTGGATTAGATTCTCATCAATCTGAATTAGAAAGTATTACTCCTGCGGCTGCGACTTTTCCAAATGCCCCCCCCCCCCCACCCTTTCCTTTTCCCTCTTCCCTCTCAGAGTTCTTTTTGGTAGTAAGTGAAAACCTTAACAGGAGGCTGCTGCTCCATTAGAAGCGCACTGCCCTGCCACAGCCTATTTTATTTATGGGCTGGCACTTGATTGAGTAGGGCTTCCTCTCCTGCGCTCCTAACCAAAGCCATTGAGGGCTGTGTATGAGTCATGTCTAAGGGGGCTGTACATTTGGGCCTGACACTGCCATCAGAACAAATCCACTTATCCATCAGTGGGATGGGACCTGCAGAGTCGACTGGCAATAGTTTAGTCTCCGTGAGAAAAAAACTAATTCTAACATCAAAAGTAGATATCTTTCCCATAATACATCTTACCACCTAACACTTTTTTTATTGATTTTTTTGGAGTATTTTACTTAGGTTTGTATATGTTATATTTCTTGCAAATACTCTATATTAAATTGTATATAGTTATAGATAGTTCATTATTTTACAATTTCTCTATGTGTGTCTTAGTTATGCAGCATACACCAAGCAAATTCCTTTGCTTTTCTGATGTTTCACAAACATGTGTATTTTTTATATCAGGAAGTTCTAAAGGCATATTTAGAGGGAAAGTATGAAGCAACACGTCAACCCTTAGTTTCTTTTTAATGTCTTCAAACTATAAAACACACCGTTTTACATTCAGTCCCTTTCACTAGAAATTGTTTGTATGTGAAATTCAGGAAGTTATACTGACTTCAGACTAAATTACAAGCATTTGTGGGATTTATCCTCGTTCAATACCGAAAAAGGGTAGCAGATTTCTTTTACAGCGATGTTGAAAGTGGATTTTTGCACTTGTCACCACGCCCACCTCTTTCTTCTCCCAGCTTTTTTTTTTCCTTTCCTTCCCAGATAAAGCACCACTTGGGGCTCAAAGGAACATATGGAAGTTGGTAGCCCGGAGAGTCACACGGCACTTTATTAAACGAGAAGCAATTCCAAACCACTCCTCTCTCTCCTCCTTTCTCTAACTAATGATCCAGAAAAACCTGGCAGTGGGTCTGAACCCTCTGTTGTCGTGATTCTTTTTTAATTAGCGCTCCGAGGAGACTTTGGGAGTGAGGACTGGATTATTTACATCACCCCTGGCTCTTGCTACGACCTACCGCAACCTCCCTTTATAATAAGAAACATCACAGCAAGGGTGGCACACCTCACACTGTATATACACTAGCAATTTAATGGAAGAAAAAAATGGAGGTAAGAGAGTGAAAGACAGCTCCATAAAAATATGTTTTTTTATGGGGTTTTCAAGGTCTTTTTACATCTGCACATGGAGGCGTGTATTTTAAATTATAATCACTCACAAAACATGTAATTTTATTATCTTTATGTCAAAATCAATTCGTTTTGTGATTAGATTTCACATTCATGTGGTCAAAGAAAATGTAATTGGGGCTTTATATTTCTTATGACCTGACCTAAACAAATACAATCTCGTCCTTCAATGAATCTGTAATTGCTTATGATTGCGGGTCAACCTCAAGGGCCCTCTATGTGACCTCAGTGGCTTATTTAAGAAATACTAGCTTGTCCATATTAAACAATTAGGGTGAAATGGAATTGAAATTGAATGCAAACACCAAAAATATGGGGATATTCTGAATCCTTGTATGCAAATTGTGTGGGTTTAAAAAAAAAGTAATCACAATTAGAAATAGAAAAGGCGGAGAAAAATGCATTTACGCACGCAGACAAGGATTTTGCCAGATCATTGCTGTAGGTATTGGAACATAGCAGGCAATGGAAGGGCTAAGAGTTTGAAACATTTTTTGGACCCTTCCCTGGCAAAAAAAACCGTGAGCAATTTTTGTTGATTCAACAATTTTGGTTAATGGGTACCACATCTATTCCACAGCCTGTAATTACAACAGCTCAGTTTCCAATCTCTGCCTCGCATGCTGGGATGCTTCGCAAGTCTTCCTTGTGGTCGCCAATTTTCCGCCATTTCTCAGGCCCGTCCCCTGCCCGGCTTTTAAGAGCATGTTGGAGAACATGAAGGGAAGAGATAGAATCTGAGACAGGTGACCCTAAACAATGCCATCATAACAAACGCTCCACCCTAGGGTACTACACCCAAGTCATTCAGGACGAGGATTGTGGGAAAAAGGTTTAAGGTTAACATCCCAGGGACAGAAGACCTATTTGTCGGTTTGTTCCATTCCCGGCCCCGGGTTTGAGTGACAGCCTGCCCTCGCTAGGGTGGCAGAATTCAGCATGCAGAGACCAGGAAACGGACCAGTCCCTTTCCGAGGATGTCCCTGGGATCCCCACAGGATCTGTGCCATGTTTGGGGAGGTGCCCTGGGATTCATTGAAACTACAACTCCCATTGTCCAAACATTGGCAAAGTGCAAAGCAATTTGTTGCTGATATAACTTTGATGGAACATAACTCTTAACATGACTTTCCTTTGTTACAAGGAAATCTGCGGATTTAAACTCAAACTTGTGTTAAACAGCGTGACTTGGACAAAATATTTTCATTAGTATTCACTGAAACAGTCCCAGTGTTATTTTCTTGTCAGAGCTACCGCGGATCAAAACTCCAGCATAAATGTGGACAATAGACTCCGACTTATTGATCTGTGGCATTTGTTTTAGGCAATTCAATCTTCTTCTTTTAAAGATATTTTTTGGGTAATATTGCCTTTATCGAGAGATATCACGTTGAAATGATGCCACATTCAAACCTACAAAAAAATGTTTAAGCAAATACTAAAGTTGGAAGACAAGACAATGTCGAAAAATCTGCAGTGAAAGCTTGACCCCAGAGGCAAGAAGATACACGGCCATTCAACGTTTAAGCATCAAAAATTATTTTCTTGTAAAATGTCCGGTGTATTCGGTCCGATCGGTGTTGCCACAAGTTTATTAACCTGTTGGGAAATGTCCTCACCGGGGCATCCCCACACAGCAGACCTTGCACCTGAAGCCAGTAGCCGGCAACAGAGAAGGTGGGACAGGCCGCAGGGTGGGGGTCTGACGGTCCAGTAAATCACCGTCTTCAAAGGCCAGACCTTTATTTACGCTTTACTTCCACCAAACATGTCTGCCACTGACTAAGATCATGAATCACCCCCCACACACCCACACACACCCACACACACACCCTCACACACACCCAGCCCCCTCCTTCGGGCGAAAGGCTGATGAGCGCTGTGGTTGAGGTCAGAGAGGCCACGGGGAGTTTAACTTTGCAAACTCACACTGCTAACACCAAAGTGCCTCGGCAGATTTAAAGCCTTCCAAAAAAGCTGAGACCACAAAGTGAAGCAAAGGAGAACTGCTAAGCTGCGGGACTTTTCCCTTTCTTTCTCTGCTTTTCTTACCGTGTTGGTGGGGTCGTCTTGGAGAATGGCATCGTAATGCTTGCTGGCCTCGTCGTATCTTGAGAGAGAGAGAGAGAGAGAACACAAATTAGTTTTTTTAACCAATCCCAGTCCCGAAGTCGGATAAAATTAGGTGGTGGGGGAAATCAAAGACAGTTCAAGGTAATCAAGTTTCTGTATACAACATGGCAGGTTCCTGTGATTACAGTGAGGCTGTGCAGAAATCAGCAGTGATCTAAAGGAAAACATAAACACTCATTTAACGTTTAGGTTGCTGGTCACACGGCCCGAAATTGAGAGAGGCGTGTATCACTTCACAATGAGTCATGAAATCAATACTAACAAAGCACCGTTTTGAAGATTGTATTTTCATTTGATTGTATCCAGTTTGATTCACCTTTAAACAAAATTAAATTGCTGCTTTTACATGGGTCCAGATCCACAGCCGACTTGTCGGTTCAGTTGTCCGTCTCTTGGCCCATTCGTAATACCACAACACACACACACACACGTGAACGCAACTAAATCCAATACGGCGCGCCTTAAACTGCTGGATTGAGCCCACATGATTCTGTTTAAAGAGGAAATTTATGAGCTGTAAATATCAAATCATACGGTAAAGAAATCTGGGAAAAGGAGGTATGTGCACTTCACTTGTCATGTCAAATCAGGCGCTGAAGGATGATTTTAGGAAGGGGCTTAATTTCTGCTCGGGACAATCTGCAACGCTAACGTTTTAGCAGCCAAAGGCAGGGCTCAGTGATCAGAAGTGTCCCGCCCACAGCCTGCAACAGACAGAAGCGCCTCTGGTTCCCATTAGCGCGGAGAAGCCCCACTTCCAGCGCCACTGCTTCCCTCACATTCACTTTATTACTCAGCCACACGTTGGGAGATTTCAGATGGCACCGGGCAACCGCTCACGAGCCACTTTGATTTGCTTTATTTCTTTAGGAACCGTGTGTGTGGAGGGGAAGGGACGCACTGTTTGAAGCTGTGTCATTGGAGTGTAGCTCTGTCTGCTGCCAATTAGCCCCCGACGTGCCGTTTATTTAATCTGACAGTGCCGAAGCAATCGTTCTCAATTATCACATAAACTCCGACATAACCGATAAACCAGCAGCGGCGATCCGCGTAGGGGAATGGGAGCGAGGTAGTAAACAGATTGAATTACCCTTACTTCAGCTCAGTACAGACTAAAATACCCCCTGTTTATCCTATTTGCTCATGCTTACTCTCTTTTTTTTATAAACTGTAGATTCACAAATAAATCATTGGAGGGAGTTGAAGTGGAGTTTGTGGTGACATGTCAATATTTACAGGGGCCAGGCACACTCGCAGTAAAGGGATCAAAACAGGACAGGAAAAGAAAGCATGAAAATAGGCAAGAAGAGAGAGATGAGGGTAACAAAATAAGGAAACAACGGAGAAATAGAAACCAGAGAAAATTGAGGGACCCCCAGAATAACATTGGGATCCGACCACTTCCTTCCCGGGAATCCCTAACTCAGGCTAAAAGGGCCACAGGACTACCCAACGCTGAACCCGTTCTTTCTCCATTCTTTTATGCTCCAAAAAGGAATGCTGGGTGATCCAACATAAACACAACTTACCGCACATACACACACATATACTGTACTTACACACACACCCGGACTATTGTACAACACTAAGGAAGAGTTTCTCGCCCCCGAGCCTCCCAAACTACAACACATAGCAGCGCCTGCGGAGCGTTTGGTGCCCGGTGCTTACCTTTCCAAAGCTTCCAGCCTCATGCCCGATAATCGCTTCACTCTGTGGCTATCTGGAAACTGCTTCCTCAGTTCCTGCAGACAGGTCTGCAAGGATGTGGGCAAAGGAAAGAGAAAAAGACCAATTATAGTTGGCTGTTACTTAAGCTTATGTTACGCTCTCACACACGCTAAAGATACAAACCACCTGCCTTGAAAATGTTGCCTATGTTTCAGCTAAACAAACACACTTAAAAACACACTGTTAAAAGGCCAATTAGATGCGGGAATCTGCTGTTACTACAGTATGTTAACCATTTAGGCAACCACGCTCGGTACTATAAAAAGGGGAATAAGGATGCTCCCATTTTCTCCTTTAAACAGAGGGTTTGCACCGCAGTGAAAGAGCTGAGGAATGGTTGCAATCGCATTCAGCATTATCCTTGATGAGATGAAAGTATGACCTGATATGGAAACGCTATCCATCAGCTGCTCCTTTACTTTTTTTTTTGTCTGGCAGCGGGCTTCAAGGATAGCCAACAGACAACTATTTCCAAAGAGTGCTGCCTTTGCTCTACGCAATGAGTCACTCTTGTTGCCAAGGGAGTCGCTACATCCATACTGATTGGAGATGAACCATTTCAATAGTCATGATCTGGTCTTTTTATGTGGATTTTTGAATAAGTCAGAAACATCAAATTAAGCCCAAGGATGGCAAATCAATCCTGAGGGGGGGGGGGGGGGGGGGAAGCTGTTTAACTCCATAAGGGATCATGGCCAACACTTGAAGCATGCTTCTCCGCTCATTTGCTACACCGTCCGATTCCAACTCTGAGCAAATTGTTTTTCCAAAGTACAGACTAATACCATTTGGCCAAATAAAAATCACATTTTCACATTTGGCAGGGGGGGTGCTGCTAAGCAGGGAATGGCTATGAGGGAGTGAACGATGGCTTTTGAAGCTTTAGGGCGTGTGAGGAAGGAGCGGTAAAAACTCACCAGAGCCAAGTCATCCCGACTGCAGTCCAGCGCTGCAATCATCACCTGCTCATAAATAATCCAAACTGGGCAGAAGAGACAGGGACAAAGAAGACTGTGTTAACGCCCTTTCCACTCCACTGTCTGCTGTAACATGTACAAATGAAATATTGAAGGGTACACTTTGACGTCCCCACTTACGCGTCTTTCCCACAACAGCTGCACATCATGTTTTCAACACGCACAAACAAGCTTCCATGATGTGAATCAGCAGCATCAGAACTTTCCCCATTTCATTTAATATATAACATGGCTCTGATCAAAGACTTTTTACAGCCAAATCAATACGAGGAAAGAAATTTGGTCAATTTAACGTCAAATGTTGCCAAAACAATCAAATTAGTTTACATTAGAAAACAATATGGAATACGTATTATTTATAGAGAGCACAAAACTGTTGATTCATGATGGCTAAACACTCCCCAATAAAGAAAAGAATAGAGAACAAGAGAAGGAGAGAAGTTAAAAGATGAGAAAATAAGACAAACAGGAAGTAAACACTAACAGGAACACAGTATGGGCTCTGGCAGTGTTCAAAGACTGGTTAATGGAAAAGAAAATGTGAAGAGACTTGGACAGTTCCAGAAAACCTTAATACGTGCTGCCGTCATTTTAAGTTACGTTGCTATTGCTGCAGTTCCAGATGTTTTTATTAATGGAAGCCAAACGATTCATTTTAAGTATAATAAATCAGAATAAAACTAAATGATGTGTCCAAATATTGATTTATTTAGCAAGTAGCCGTGTCGAGACGGTCATTTTAGGAAAAGTAACCCCTTCAGGGTGATTCAAAGCCCACCCTGTTGCTATAATAAAATGTCATCCCTTACATGTAATGCCACATTTACTATTTTATGTATGCAATTTGTTAAATATAATGTTCAAAAACTATACATTAATTTCAAACTTTGACAGATATATAATAATAAATGCAGGAACATTTGGAGCGTAAAGCGTTCCATTCATGATGTTCATTTCTCCACAGTGAGTTGGTAATAAATTACTAATTCAATGTCAGTAATATTGTTACATTCCAGGAAATTGGGTGTAACATTATCATGAAAATGCAATAAAATAAAATTGTTATAATCACCTTTCAATGTTAAATTGAATTTGAATTAGATAAAAATGATTTCCATACAACCCAACTCATTCAGTTCCCTTATAATAGACATCTTGGACACTATGTACTGTTGTAATTGATGGACACATGGATATGGAAAAAGTGATCTTTGAAAGGGTTCAGAGGGGAAAAGGATGAGGTTGGGAAGTTAAACATAAGCAAAGAATGTAGTAAAATTAAAATAAAACATTGCTAACATTGTTAAAAAAAACACTGTTGATGTTTTGTGAAACCAAAGTAGCTGAACTAACATTTCTGTAAATGTTTCTCACCCATCAGTATGGGTGGTGTTAACAGTTACTGTAGCTCACATGCCAGAACAAGCTTCAACAGCTAGGCTCGGTGTGGTTGGGTTTACAGCAGTATGTCTGTTTTCATTCAAAATACTTATGTAAAGATCACTTTCAGCATAAACACTATATAACATTTACATAACCTCAGTTAGTTATTTTAGGGCATTAGCTATGTTTAAATATCCCAACCCATGTTACCCCAAATATCATTTGTAATGAATGTTTACATAATCAAGGGGATTGCCTTTAAAAAGCTAATTCACTCTCATTTAAAAAGCTCTGACAATAGTCAGTTCTTAAAAGAAATACAGCTTTTTATAAATTGACTAGATTTGTAATGTAATGTGACAAAACAATGTGGTTCTGATTTAGGGTATATGCAGGAATCCTGAAGTCAAATGTAATACCTTTTAAGACCTTTTTTAAGACCCTTTCCATACATTTTAAGACCTCATCGCCACTTTGAGTTTTAACCGGTTACATTGGCGACACACTTTACCTCACATTGACTATATACAGTATTGATTGTCCTTCCTCCTTATCTTCCAACCATTTGGACGCAAACTTGCATTTCCCCATAACGATGTTGTTTAACAACCGGCGTAAACGGACCTTCGCGCGCTATCAAGCAGCGAGCGTGCGATGTCCTGTTCAGATGACGTCCAATCCAACGGGATGCCATAAATAAACTACACGACACACCTACGCAATGATTACATTCAGGCAGACTGTAGAATACAACCTCTTTGGACAATTTATATACTTATTGAAAACAAGCTACAAAATGTAATACCTTGGAAAATGCCGTTTAATACTTTTTAATAGCCTTCATTTTCGCTAAATTGATTTATCAACTTTTAATACTTTTTTAAGACCCCGCGGATACCCTGTGATTGTTAATTATGTTGTAGAGTTGTTGTTGGTTTTATTGACCAATAATTCAAATTGTAGACGTCTGTTTTCTTTACCTTCTACTCCATTAGGCTTATCGTATAGAGGCCCTATACGTGGTTGTTTTGTATTCATAAAACCAATCTCAAGCTATTCCCACCATTTCACCACTGTTATATTTATATACTTGTAGAGCATGGCATGTTAAAAATCATCATTAACGGGCACAACTGTTCCTTTAATATGTTTCACTTGGTGGTTAGCAATAAAGACAAAATGAAACGTTAATTGAAATGTTTTTTCGTTCGCTCAACTGTAACATTATAAACATACTGACTAATAGCCTGGCTGCAGGAGCCAATTAATAGAATGAATACAACATGTTAGACAGACAGCTCCGACAAGCTAACGGGACATGTTCGTCCAAATGAACACCCTCTGTTAATTGAAAAGAATAATAAAATCCAAAGCTGTATGCCAAAATAAACAAATGGCTCTAGTTTTCTTGACTTTAATGATTCCAACGCTTGTTTTGATAATTGCCATCTCATTTCACAGGCAATTTAAGAGCTGGTTTCAATAAAAGCATGGCATGTTAAGTGTTTACTCTCCTCTTTTTAAAAGGACAGTATGAATCATACCGAGTAGGGGAAAAGGGAACGTTTTACGGGCTACTGCAGCAGGACAGTGCTGTTGTAAGGGAGACCGTGACCTTTAATATGTGTATGGTACGTAAAAGTCACTCCCCTAGAAAAATCTAATTTAAATCCACAGCATACTGTACTGTGCACCTTTCCCATTCCAATGATTTTCTTTGAAACTGTATCCGTGCTTATACCATGTCTGGAACATTCAGTTATTTACTGCTTTTAAAGATTATCTCATTCTCAATTGTTTTGCATCACTGCCTATTCATCATCTGAAACACCAAAGCAACCTTTAAAAAAGTGAACTGTTTTTCCAAGTTAAGTATTTTACCTTTCCTCTCTGAAATCTTCTAAATATATGTCTAATGTAAGCGATGTTGTATTTTTGAACTTAGCTTTTCAACCATGGCTGAGTCTATCTGTGTTTTCCACATCACATGAAACCCAAGATCCTGTTATGGAAATGTATCCAATAGAAACATATATACCACTAAAGAGGAGAGAAAACAAATCCAGCTAGCAGGAAATCACCCACTTAGATCAATCATATTGTATAGATAAACCCGCAGTCAATAACATTTGCCTTGATGTTATTACAGTGAGAAACGCAGAGGTTTTTGATACCACAAAGAAGAAGCTCCTCATTCACAAACATGATTTTGAACTTTGAACAGAACTGCAGATTGTATTCATCTCTTATTTTTATAATATGATGTCAGTAATGCCAAAAGGAAATGATTACAAGCTGTCCATTGTGTTACTACCAAAACAATTGATCTTTCTCATTTAGTATGTCAACAGTGATTTGATGAGTGTTAAACTCATGTAGAGGGGCATTGTCAGCTTGATGGCTTATATCTTTAAAATGCTTCATCTTAAAATAATAATGCACCTTATAGACGATTTTGGCTAAATCCTTTGGGTAGGCTTGCTAAAAAAACAACTGTGGAGTGGCGTAACATTATGTACTGATTTATATTGTATTTAGTCTTAAGACACTTACTGTCATCTCCCAGTTTAGATCCATGATCACTGATGAGCTCTTCACCAACATCAACAATTTGTTCACTATTTCTGCAGTTATCTTCTCTCCATTTGCGCAGCTTGTCTCTCATCTCTGTGGACAAAGTTGTTAAAGCACAAACTGTCAAATTGTATTGAGTTGCAATCTTCATCATGACATTTTCTTGCCATTGAACACTGGAACAGTGCAATCCACGACTAAGGATGAAAAGCAAAACATGCTATAGTGTTGATTGATGTATTTTTAAATAATGTATCCGTCAGAATGATGTGGATCTGAAATAACTGAAGCAAGTCAGACACCCCAACACCGACACTCCATACATTTAGTTCAATTCATCGGACAAGTAGACAATTGAATCAAATACACTTTCTAACCACTACGGTTATCTTTGTGTTACCAGGCTGAAGCAAGAGGATACAATTGCACTTTAATTACAATTGTGTTGTTATTACAATTCTATACTTGTTTCTCAGAACCAGAAATCTATTGCGACGTGACGTTAGCTTACTTATAGCTCACGTTAGCCTGAGGCATGACTGGCTAGCATGCTATATGTTATGTAGTAAGGTAGTCAGCTGGAAACAGAAATATCCCGCTTTCTTCGTGATATTGAACGGTACTTTGGCACCGTCTGCAACTTAGTTATAAGTGACGCAGATGAAGCTGTACAGTATGGGTCTACTGTACGGATAAACCCAATGCATTAGCTATTCTTGCTAATAGCATAAGCTAACTCTTTACACGCCGACTTGTTAGCTCGTATTTTCAGTATTTTTCTTCGAATGAAGAATACCAAGTAAACACCGAATGCTTTCATAAATAGATATGCATGTCTCAATGACACTTGAAGAGAATGTATTTTATTTTTGTGTCTTACCTTCCCAGCCCACATCGTACATTTCTGATACAGACGCCATCTTTTCTCTTTTGACAACAGACGCCGTGCCTACGTCATGGCTTACCAGCAGTGGACGTACAATTTATATTGAGGTAAAACAATTATCATTTATTTTGAGGATGATGATAACAGCCTATGTTTTTTTATTTTACTAGGAGCATCCTATTTTTATAGAGACACAATTCCTTCAATGTATTCAAAGGTGTTTGTATCAAGAAGGCTCACATAATATAATTATTATTTTATGTGATGATTATTATTATTATTATTATTATTATTATTATTATTATTATTATTATTATTATTATTTATACTACCTTTAAGTCTAGTAATGTTTATTCTTTCTTTATAGTTGAAATGCTATAGCTCATTGTTTAAACTTTTATATTCAGTGTGTCCTGTTATTTTACTAATTTTTGTAAGATTTTACTAATATCAGAATCAGAATACCTTTATTTGTCCCACAGAGGGGACATTTACATTTGTTACAACAGAAAAGAGCCAAGGAGAGCTTAATATTAACTAAGAAGCATGCATAAAAACGAATTTAAGATAAAAACATTTTTTTAAATTACACAATTTAGAACAATAATTGTTATGAATACTATTTTTATTTGCGACGAACATAGTGTCCTATTTTATAATGGTATGACTGATCGATTGATTTATAAAGCGTACACACTGATTTGATTATTGATATATTGACACTTTTTGCATTCGGGTTAAAAACTGGTGATTTTGACTTTCAGGCTCAAATAGCATATTTTCTGGTTCAAGCACAGGGCTAATGTAATTTCAACATGCTGCAAACCTACATTTTCCTAATGCAGTGTGATGGTTAGCAGATATGTACAATCCAGATGATGTTCCTCTCATGCTCCATTTCCAATTTTATTTAATCCACCTATTAAGTATTAGATAGGACAGTCTGCTGAGCCTAATCTATCAATTTCATAGAAAACATCAAATGTGCTTTCCAAGCACAACTGAACATTATATCCTGATTTCCCCCAGGAGCCTCTGTGAATCTCATCCCCTCGCTGTGTAGGCTTGCTTACACACTTCTCTCTTACCACATTACACACTTGTTGATGTGGACTCAGCAGAAACCTGCTTACATAGACATTTCCGAGATCTGATGTCATATCCAGTACCAGGCATGCATACTTTGTCGATGTGATATAGTGACAGGACAACAAGGAGAGGTTTTTATCCCTCTCAAGGACACTGACACTTTAATATAGCTTCATCAATAATGAGCAAGTGCACAAGGGAATAATGAAATGTCATCATCTCTGTCAGGGATGCAAATAATAACACTATGTACAGTTTAGTTTACGAATAAGCTTTGGCTTTGGGTGCACTTGTAATTTTCAAGTCTGCACATGGCAGTCGGTTGATTTGTGGTTGGGAGCCGAAATACCAAAGGAACCACATTAAAACAATGGCACACTGTCCTCTGGGGCAGAGGGCTTCCCCCTTGTCTGCCAAGGTGCCACTGAAGGCTGGGGGCCTAGCAGTGACCTGCAATAAACACCATGCAGTGGGTGTGACCCTTGGGATTTCAGGGACATGATGCGGAAAGTGCTCTGTGAACAAGCTGTCCGTAACTTTGAGATGCAGCTGGATGTGGTGGTGAAAAAAAAACCTCTTCACATAAGGCGCCTGTTTAACTTGGAGCAGCCTTCTTGTACAGAAATGTCCCAATATGGGAGATGAATTGGGGTCATCTGAAAACCCAAATTGTGCGACTTGACTGGTGCCTACGTAGGTTTCCATGCAGATAGCCCCCTCATATGGCACACAGGACAAGCATATATATATTTTCCCTTTCGGTCTCCATGTATGAAAAATAGGAAGAAATATTCCAGTAGAAACACTTCACAGGAATTATATTTTGATTTCTGACAGAAGCAATCAGAGTTGGCAATCTCTAAAATGAACAGCGATGGACTGAAAATTGAGGTGTCTGAGGTGCTCTCTGCGGTTTTCCAAATAGTTCTTGTTCCATCTAGGTTTTCTTTCTCGTTGGTGTTGTACAGTCAGTTGCGGAAAATGAAGACAGATGCAATTAGCGCCAATGTTTGGACTCGGCCTTCTGGAGCCGCGCGGCACTGTGTTTGCTTTGAAATCTGATTAGGTCCCCTGTCTGAGCAAGTTGCTTTCACCTCGCTGCAAATAACTCTGTACAGATGACTCCTGCACGCTTTGCCTCTGATGGAGTCCCTCTATTGCACCTTTGACCTCGCCCATATCCTGAGTGAGAGGCCCTGAGCGGGAAATTATGGCACATCACACAATTAGACTTCCTAACCAACCTGCCCTTCTCTCTCTCGGCTTCCGTGCCAAGAACAATATTCAGCCCTGTGTCGGAGCAGCACCACGCTGGTTATTGATGCTGCTCACATGGTACGGAGCTTAGGATGTATTGCTCCCCTGACACCCCGGGTATGGCGCGATTGCTTGTTGTGGATTGGACTTGTTATTAAGTATAGCGAGATTGGGTTAATAGCAAATTCTCATTGAATTCAACAAGGTTTTAACCTCACCATGCATGAAATTACCTCAAAGAAGTTCCTTGTAGGTGATGGCATTTATCATGACAAGTAGAATGTGATAAACTCATCCCTACAAGCTGTGATGAGCATTGATTTCCACATGAACACATTCCAGTGCTCCTCCTGGAATTTATTACGGTAAAAGGATTTAATATTTGCGCCTAATCTTGCATAACCCTCATGCAGTCTTATTAAATTGAAACTTTGATCTCTAAGAGAGTATTTGGCAGCGAAGTGACAATTTTGACACCTCCGAGCCAAATATTGAGATTTTTTTCCGTCTCCTATCCAAGAATCACATCATCTCCATTCTAAATTGCAGCAGCTGTTGAAGTTCCTTCATTGCAGCACTATGTTTTGCATGATTCCAACTTGATTAATAAATCTCTTCAACAACCTCTCAGGGGGTCCAAGCTGAGGTTTGACATACAAAGAAGTCATGGCTTATGTTCAACTGGTCTGTCTTTCCATGGTTTTATTCAAAGGCCTCCAATTAGCTACATAAACTATTACACACATTTTAAGTCCACGGGAAGAGGAATACTCAAATCCCTTCCAAAAAACAGTAATTTACCAGCATCATCTTTTTCTTTTCTGGTAAGAATGTTCGTGACCGTACATTTGGAGATTGCACTATGTTCTGTGTCTTGCTTTGAAAGAAAATTGCAGAAGAAAAGTGAAGTTGTGCATTACGAGAAGAGCTAGGAAGCATTAGAGGGGTCACATATTGATGGACTCCCCTGTGTGCCTTCTGTAATAATGTGTGAGAGTACAAGTCACTCCTTGTTTATGCAGCAGCAGACATATGTCGGGCAGATGTTCTGCCATGCTTGGTGCCATTGGGTGATCACTGGAAGATCTTTTTTAAGTTGTTTTCTGGTCGGTCAATAACCTTCATCCCATCGCCATCCAATGTGACAGTGCTGAAGTCAGCACTGGGCTCCGAGTCAGGAGTGTTGGCTGCTGATTTATAACCTGACACGCACTCGGGGCGAGGTGATGCATATCTAAAAAGTGTACAAAAGGAATCATTGAAATTCATATGAGATCCTTGGAATCCTGATTCGAAACGGGGATGCTTGGCTTTGCAACAAGCAGCGGCGAGTCGTTCATCTTCAGGTCTTATTGATTTATCTTTTGACAGATATTAGTGCGAGGCCAGTGGTGGGTGTCTCTGGCAGTGTAATTTTCTCTCCCTCTCTTTTGGATTCAGTTGTTGACCAAGAAAGCTTTCAGGGAACTGGAGAGCTGAGGTTTTTCATGGAATATTTGGCCCATCAATCCAACGCCCTTTGAGTTGATCCCATTAAGGCCACGAGTATTTTCTGCAAACATGAAGGATAACTGTTTAGCATGCTGACATGTGTTGGGGGTCTTGACAGCATCCCTGTGTTAATCCTGTGTATGGGGTGTGCCATCACTGCTTTGATTTAAAGAGACAGAAATGTGTTTTTTGATAGCCCAAACCTCCTTTTTTTCTCGCCTGGCTGGGGATTCTGGGAGTTGCTGGGAACAAATCATTAGTTTCAGTCACAATGTTGGTTGGGTTGACTGAAAAGCACATTGGCAGGAGGAGATTACGAAGTTGCAGAAGCATCGCCAAGTCCTTAGTTATGTTAGAGAGCAGACCACCGTGAACTGTATCCATACATCTGACAAACAACAATCAGTTTGCAGTAATCACATTGCCTTGGCCTTAATGGAGCAGTTTGACGTCTTTGGGAAATGTGCTCATTTCCTTTCTTGCCGAAACTTGGGGAAACAGCTAAACTTGCTCGATCCAAAAGTAATAAAATCCGCCCTCCAAGCACCTGAAAAAGATCAACACATTATATCTTGTTTGCAGGGGGATACATTGGGATTTGTAAGGTTGGGTATGGAAACCATTGGCCATGTGGTCTGGATGTGGCTTTGTCAACGGAATAGTTTCTGGACAGAGATGTTGTTTTTGAATTTTGTTAAAGAAATATTCTATTCACCTCAATAGTCGGTTAATTGGGTGAATCAACTCCTTAAATCTGAAGCACTGTGAACTGTATATGCCCTAACTCTAATACATTGTTATATTATACATTTATATACATATATGTTCACTGACGCATCTATACTGCTTAGTAGTTTGGAATAAATTGTGATTTTTTTGAGGATTCTACAATCTGTTGCAATATATTCTATTTATTTTATTTTGGATGTAATGCATGCAAACAGCAAAACTGAAAACTCCTTTTTGTGCAATTCATCATTAATATCTTAATACTCATACACCACTTTTATTATTCATTATCAAATAGTGTAACTGTCACAAAACCCAATTACCCTTACAATGAATAAAATGTTCTTATTCTGATGAATCTACTTAAATCACCAGAAAACATTTTTATGTTGAAAATAAAATATGTACCAACAGTTTGATGGTGCTCGACTAATCCACTTCCTAAAGATTTTACTATTCAAACTTAAAATCTGTGTCTTATCGCTTACCTGTT